AGGGCAGAAGAAGGTAGGAGAGGTAAGCGCGACGGAAAGAAGAGACAGGACCCAGGCGCAGGAGCAAGCCTACCGGGGGGGCAGCATCAGAGAGGCCGGGGGCGTGAGACAAGTCCAGAGCGGGCATCGGGCCCACAGAAAGGGCGGAGGGGTTGGGCCCCCGAGGGGCAGGGACGGACGGAAGTAAGGTAGTTGACGAGCCAGAGAGGGGCGCCCCAAGTAGGGCCGGGGGAGGCAAGGAAAGCCTACCCGGCACAGGACAGGCAAGGGGCGAGTCCTGCAGTAAGGTAGGCAACCGTAAGAGAGGGCCGGAGAAACGGATGCGCAGAGGGAGGGGGCGCGCACCGGGTAGGCAGAAGACCCAGCCGGATGATGAGGAGTCGCATAGACGAGGCGTAACAACGGCGAAGGAGGTCGCCGCTTCTGTGGAGAAGCAGAGGCTGGGTGGAGGCGAAGGTGAATGGCAAAGTAGCGACGAGCGAAGTTACCTGTGGCACGAGCCGAACTAGAGGCAACGCGGCGGAGTCTTGTGAACGAGGTAGAAAATATGAATGGTAGGTAAGAGAGTCGGCGTGAGGCTGGAGGCTTACGTTTTCTGTTGACGATGACTGCATTAGGTTATTTCGTACTCTCTACTCGATTGCCATGCATCTCGTCATCCTTGTTTGTCCAGAGCTGTCCCACTACTGCCACGGCACCACACCTGCAAGAGCCGAGGGAAATGACGTACATGCATTCATTTGTTCAATGTTCAACTCTCCAGTCGTCTTCATATAAGTTGCGACAAAGCACAGCGTGTCCTAAACCACTTTCAAAGATTCGCGATCAGAGCATGCTTGGAAATGCACATGGGGCCGTCAGGAGAATGGCACAACACATTCAATGAAAAGATGCACTATGTATAACTGCATACACACTTCTGCCCGAATGCACGCAATGCCCATGGACACCTACCGATACTACACTTGCCTGACCTGTCCGGCCTGGACCTCCAGTTCTATACCCCCTCGCACCTGCCATTGCTGCCGTCGCGTGTCTGTCCGCACACGAACAGGACGGCGAAACGATACTTGCACGCTGGCTGAGTGTAACCATCTGCCTCATTCTTCGTGCGGAAGGAGACCGACCGACCCGCGTGCTTAACGTGAAGTCCCTCCCCCTTCCGTCGGTGCCCAAGAGTAGGTACGAACCACGCAGGAAACTTCTTCTGTAGTACCAGCTGCGCAACAACAGATTTCACGTTCTCACTATTGACAGCTTTGGTACTGTAAGGTTTTGCAGTTCGTTAGCGCGCGCTTCTGAGACCATGTCGAAACTTCGGAGCTAGTGGAGCTTGATCCTGTGGTTCTCCGTGTGAGACAATGGCGCGCTATTATGACTATTTAAGCGGACCATTTTATGAACATTGTAAGTCTAAGTTGAAGTTGAAAGCCCGATCTTGGTATGTGGATATGTAGCTTTCTGCTATAGCCATGTAAGTGTTCCCGTCAGTGCGAAAGCTGGAAGAGTTCTTTTAAGGTGTTCCCGGGGAGGCAATGGTGCGTGCTCTACCACCAGTAGTGCCTGACCTGACCTGTCCTGTCCTGATCTGTTCTTGACTGCGAGGGGGGCCAAGGATTAAACCTAGCCATGAGAAGGTGAGGGAGCCCCAAGGGTTTTGGCCAGCAGCCACCAACAAGGAAGGCCAGGACAGCATGTGTGGCGCTACCGAGATACCACAAATCACAGCCAGGTTACGATAGGCGCACCTACAGGTCTGGGCATAACAGGTCATTTTGGTATCAACGACCTCATGACAAGCTCACCGGAGGCGTTGGTCTGTATCTTGTGTCCTCATCCATAGTCCACAAGCTCTGTCCTACTAGGTCAGGTGCGTTTGACCTAAATGGCTAGTAGTCAACTCAACGTGCAGCTCGCCCAAAGGGCTCATCCACACATACTATTTGGGATATATCGATCCAAGCAAGATTTTAGGAAGTTTCATCCTTGCGAAATTGACCGGAGTCGTCAATTTCAAGGTGGCAGCAAATGGGCGACAGCTCTGGAACATTTTGCCTAAAATAAAAATCTAGCCATGCAACCATACCTTCCACCGGCGAGGCGTCCTTTTGCTCCATGCGTGACTTGTTAATAACAGGAAGTGCCAATCCTATGAAAGCC